AGAATATACTGCAGCAGTAAATACTTCCAAATTGGAAACACTGATGCAGTTTTCTCTCACCCAACATAATAATCCTTCATCATAAATATAAACCTTCTATGAACAAACACAATCAAACAAAGGTCGTTAACCTAAGAAAAAAAAACCCAACCCAAAACACTTGTTTACAGCAGAATCACTGGCTCAGTTTACAGCAGTGTGGACTTCCTGTTTACTTCTAGGAGAAAAGCTGAAGGTGGATGTTTACTCTCCTTACCTCATGTCTTATGATGTTTATGGAGAAGGAGGAGGAACAGGAGGAGGTGCTGACATTACACCTCCTCTGTAGGCTCTGCAGAAGGTATCACAATGAAACACTGGGGCCCAGATGGAGATGGAGGGCTCGGGCATCTCGGGGGTGTCGAAGGGGGAGACGGGAAGAGGTTTGGATGGAAGGGAAGAGGAGAGGAAGGTTGATGTTTGGTTGGAGAGGAAAGGCGATTGTTTGCTGTGGAACTGCAGACAGAAGCTGGAGACGACGGCCGATCTGCATCATCAGGTGGAAGGAGCGAGGGAGAGGAGGCAGGTGATGGAGGTGATGGTTGGATCTGAGGTGAAGATGGAGGTGGCAGAGAGGAGAGAGGGGAGGAGTCTGCAGCGGGTGAAGATGAGAAGTGCTGTGAACTCAGAGGAGCAGAGGGAGGCAGAATAAAGTCAGCAGCAACTAACAAGTCATTCTCATCCGGAGGACGAGAGCAGAGAGGATCGGCGACAGGTGGAACTTTCTCCTCTTGTGCTTGTTGGTTTGGAGGAACAGGTTCTGACGCCGGCGGTGCTGTGATTGTTGGAGAAGATGATGTTTTCTTGTCGGCTGGTGAAGTTGGATACGGTGCCATATGTGGAAGTGGGCAGCGACGCGTGTTGATCTGGAGGGTCTCCTTGTCAAGGGCTGTGTTCTGTGGAAACAGACGATGGAGGTGAAGACGCTGAGAGTTGATTTACACTGACGACAACAACAGATTCATCGGCACACGACTGAAAACAAAACAAACTGTTACTTTTTAGTTTTGTTTTTAAATGATCACCAACGATGGAGGCGGATGATTGGAAGATGATTTCACATGTGCACTGTTCATCCACACAGTGGAGACAAACAACCACAGGACATCATTACGTCATCTTCTATGAACTGACACAGGACAGAGGAGGAACTTTTTCTTGGATTCCACCCGACCCCCACTACCCTCACCCCCGGTGAAGTCAACAATTTGTCTGTGTCTGTGTGGGACAGAGAACTCAATCAAAGGAACATTCCTCATTTGTCCTGGTTCTGATTTAACAACAGTAGACAGAAGAGGAGGCCAAGCATCAAGTGTTAGTACATACCATCGCCGTGGAGCTAATGCACAGGAGGGTTATGCAGGGAAGAAGGCGGGGGGGCAGAAAGGGACAGAAACTAGTCTTAACTCACAGCTTCACAATAAAAAGGCAACGAGCAAACAATCAGCTGATGTTCCAGCTGTTCCAGCTCAGAATCTGAGTCTGTTTCATGTCTTTTAATGAAAGACGGTTCAGATCAAACTGAGGTGGAACAAAGGTCACGCTGTGTTACAGTGACACTGTCATGTCAGTGGTGAGTGGGTGGTAAAGATGGAGCTGGTGATATTCCATACAGTAGTTGTTTAAATATCGACGAAACACTTAAAAAGACAAAATTAATGATACTGGAAATACACAGTAAAATCACAATAAAATCAGTCAAAAAAAATTGAAATAAAAAATAAGAGTTACATTTATCACTATTTTTTTTTCAATCATCTGTAACTAGTGTCTGCCAATTATCACTTTTCTTTCATGTTTTACTATTTCTTACTAGAACAAAAAAAAAAATCTAAAATCTTTGCATCCCTCAACAAAGCCAAGAACAGAAGAATTTCAGATTCCGGTCCCACTCTCTTCGTTTGTTTCTACTTTTCTCCACAAGATGGCACCAGAGCTCATCAAAATGAGTAAGTCACCAACAGTGAGTAAGTGCTAACAGAAAGTTGATTTTGGGGGTTCAGTCATTTGTCTTTGTAATGCAGTTTTGCTATTTAACAGAGCAAACATTTCCTCTTAAATGTCAAATGAGTTTGATTAACAGAGTTATTAATAGTATTAAGAATTAGGTTTCACTTTCTGCACTCATTAATTACCCACGCCTGGGAAAGAAACAGGAAGTAGAGCAGGTAGTGGAGGAAGTTGGGTTAGATGGTAAAGGAAGAAGTTGAAGGGAAGGGCGATGGCTGCAGAGGAAGAAAGGAGGCGGTGCAGGAGGAGCAGGGGGAGGTGGTGAAGCGTGTACCCGGCTGTGCGCTCCAGGCATCCCCTGTGGTCCTGGGTTGGGTGTGAGGGAGGGGTGAGGAGGAAGGAGGTGGAGGATGTGGATGGAGAAGAGGAGGAGGTGGTGAGGTGGAGGCCAGGGCCGTATTTACAGCTCAAACTGTCGAATGAAATTAACAATAAAGTGAATGAGTGTAAATCTAAACGTCTGCATCAAGAACATGTCTCCAGCTACAGGTGTAGACAGACAGAGTGAAGACACGGAGCAGGGGCTGATGGGTAGTGAGACCTGACCAGACCAGGAGAGCAGAAAGTCAAACTAGGCAACAGGAAGTGATGTAAATTGGCGCTAATACAGACAGGATGCAGCCACAACAGGAAGAACTTTGTCACTATCGCTGTTGAACTCCTGACTGACTTTGGATTACAATGTGTAGAAATATATATTACATATATAAAACTATTTTTTACGGGCTTTTTTTTAATCGTCGAGCGTTTAAAACTTAAACTCAACAAACTGTTTTCAACTCAAATGTGCAGCAGCAAACTGAACTGTTTACAGAATTCTTAAAGCCATTATAATCCAACCAATAATAATAATGGTTGTAATAACTCACCATGATGACCGACACTCCGGCGGTGGTGTTGTTTTGCTTTGGTACAGTGTTGAAGTGCGTCTTCAGTTTTCCCGTCACCTCCATTTTCATGTTGTTCTCAGTGACGACTTCATCCTGAAGTAAAAAAGGTAAGTCCAGTCCTCCAGCCCATAGAATAGTACCAGCAGTCAAATGTCTGCAGTTCTTAAAAATAATAATAATACAATAACAATAATATTACAATAACAATACAAGATGGCGCTGATGCTAACGGCGTTAGCCTTCTGGTCGCTCTGCAGCACTAATCTGTTTTACTACTTTCGCCTCACTTTTTCTTTACTCCTTTAACGGAATGTAAATGTGTCCTATGGCAACCGGCAATCTTAAAACGACAACCGGAGCCAGTGTTTCCCCCCTCAACTCCCAAGGGATCAACAAAGTTCTATCTATCTAATACGACGGAGGAACAAAAACAGCAGCGACATTTACAAACTGACTCAAGAGAATAAACAAACGAGGATAAATATTCTTGAATTAATTAATTTAGAGGTTGGAATTTCACTAATTAAATGATTTATTACGTAAACTACAACTACACACTACCGCCCACACACCACCTGCTTCAATTTGGCACCGCTATTAATGATTCTAACCACTAGATGGCATGGTTGAGTTTATGGTTAAATGTAGATCGTTGGTAAAATGAAAAAATAAAACTATAATTGATGTCAATATAGATTTGCAGAAATGGTTGACTTCGTGTGATAATATTGTAAAATAAAATAAAAAACGTTGGTCAAAACAGTAAAAAAAGGAAGGTCCAAAGTGACCTGGAAGAAGACAGAACTGCTCTGATCTGGTCTAGGCAGCTTCAGTAAACAAGACTATAATCTGAGTTACATCTGGGCCACTGTGGATGTGTGTGTTTGTGTGTGTGTTCCTGGTCTTGTGTGTGTTGGGGGATATTCCAGGTCCCCACTGATTTGGAGGATTTTTTAGGTTCTAGAATTTAGTTTGGAGTTAGGATTAGACTCAGGGTCAGAATAGATTAAGAGTAAGGATTAGGATGAGTCATGTGTCTGTAATAGGTCAGCAAATGCAATATGTCAATGTGAGGTGTCCAAAAACACAAAATCATGTGTGTGTATATGTGTGTGGGTGGTTTGCAATAATGCACTCCACATGAAAATAAACAGTACCGTGACCCATGGGTGGGTGAGGACGTCCTCTGCTGTGTATCGAGCCTCAGTGTCAACCTGCAGCATCTTTCCAATCAATTCCTGGGAAAATTACACACAAACACTACATTGATCTCAATAAGTCACAGATACCTGTAACGGTTCACGGTTCTTGACTGATGCTGATGTCACATTCAGACAAATGTGGCATAATTATCTTTAATTGTACATTATCGCTGTAACAAAGAAAATTAATCAGTGATAACACTGTGTTCTTTTTTGTCTTTGCTCCAAACAGGTGCTGCTGCTGCTGTGTGTGTGTGTCTGGGAACAACACTAATTGTTCTGAAACACTTCTGTCGACTGTTGGCTCATAAACAGCAAAACGACGAGCAGAACATTCTAGATCAGGTGGAAAAACTGCACATTGTGTTAATCCTCCAAGGCTCTGTCACGTTGGGTAAGTGCGCATGCACACACACTCACACACACACTGTGAATCATGTGATAAATTTACACCTGCACAGCTTGCCGCTGCACTTTCTCTAACAGTGCACTTGTCGACAGTGATGAGCCAAATCGGGGGTTAATAAGCAGCCTGGTTTCACATGCTGAGTGTGGGCTGTTGCCTAAATACATGACACTAATGTATGGGCTGGGAGGGTATCTGACCTTCAGCAGAGAGTGGTCTTTAAGAACTCTGAGTCTGTGTGATTTAACTGTAGGTCTACAAGTAAGCTGGATTATTTTTTCTTCAAACTGCATAAATAAACCATAGAGTTGATCAGTCTTCCTGTGGTGTTAGGAGCTGTGTTCATTACAGGAGTGATACAAGTGAAACTGGTAAATTATAAACTGGTCATGACATCTGCTCCTAACCTTGGCTGAGTCTGTGATGTTGTCCCAGTAAGGACTGGGAAAGTCCAGTCGTCCCTCCAGGATCTGATCAAAGAGGTCCTCCTGTAGGTTACTGTCACTGCAAACATGGATGAACACGTGAAAAAGATACAAAAAAGTGTTGTTCTGTGCACTGTGTTGGTTTCAGACTATGTCCGTTGAGCTTACTTTTTTTAAAATTTATTTTTAAATATTTGTACCCACTAAAACCCAAACTAGTTGCTAATTTAAAGTGACTACTGGTTGACTTGTTGTGAACCAGTTACCTTCTGAAGGGAGGGAATCCACACAGGAGAATGTAGGTGATGACTCCTGCAGCCCAGATATCCACCTTCAGGCCATAGCTGTAGAAACACACAACAAAAAATGACAAAAACACTTTATTTATTTATTTATTTACAGAAACACTGAACCAATTCCATGGATATGTTTTGAGCCGATTCTTTCAAGCTAGTAATTCATACAGAATTAAGAAAATATTTCTATAACTGTAGCTCATTAAATTGAAGTTGGTTGTCTGAAACTTTGGTACTTGCACCACTGTTGGTAATTGAGCTCCCTCTAGTGGTACACAGGGTGATCTGTTTTATTATATAGTTGTATAGATGTGTGTGTTTGTGTGTGTCTGTGTATTAACTTGGGTTTGACTGTTGTCACGTTTCATCAGTGACGGCGTCTAGAGGCGGTAAACACTGGGTTGTTGTGTGTGGGCCACACCATGGTTAGTGGTACATGGGGCAACAGAGCAGTGGCCCAGGGGCTATTTTTAGCTGATGAGCACAATGTTAAATTAAAATTTCCCAGCTCACCCGGACTCTGCGATGATTTCTGGAGCGACATATGTTGGAGTACCACACACAGTGTACAGCGCCCCCTCCACTACTGTGGCCAGGCCAAAGTCCCCCAGTTTCAAAGACTTGGTGCCATCTGGATACTCAAACACCTGAGAAGGACACACACTGGGTTGAAGACTTCTGAGCAGATTGATTCATGAGGGCGTTGTGAGTATTATTGTGTACCAGCAGGTTTTCTGGTTTAATATCTCTGTGGACGACGTTCATGCTGTGCAGGTACTTCAGGGCTCCGGCCAGGTTGTAGATCATGATGCTGGCATCTCTCTCTGTGTATTTGGTAGAGGAGGTAATGGAATCAAATAAATCCCCTCCCTGCAAAAACAACAAGAACTGTGGTAACAGGCACACAATGTTCAGCTGGGGAAAACTGCAACTGCAATGAGTTTTCTGAACCTTAACAAGCTCCATGACCAGGTAGAGCTCCGAGGGAGTGTCCACCTCCTCCACCAGCATGATGATGTTGGGGTGTTTCACCCTTCGCAGCACAGCCACTTCATTTTCAATGAGGTGCTCCTGAAAACACAAACAAAAACGTCAGATTTAATTCATTTGTGAAGATGTGAAGTCACACCAGTGCCCTCTAGTGGTTGTCAGTGTGAAAACTAACAAATACGTATTAATATATAAATCGCATCAGGCAAAAAATGCATAATGAAGAAGAAATAACATACTGTATATAAGTCACACCTGTGCCCTCTAGTGGCTATCAGTGTAAAAATACCAAACATGTTTTTTAAAAAAAATAATTTTAAGGCATGGACAGAATGATGAGCAATCTACATCCCATAATTCCATGTTCAATGGTGGTTAGGTATTAGAGTAAAGATGAATCATTCCTGATGCACCACGCTCTGATCCACAGCTACCGTGTGATTAATCTAAATATAAAAAAATCGATTGATAGCTCTAGTAAAAAAAAAAAAAAAACATTGAGAGATTAAAAGAGATAAAAAAAAACCCACTCGACTCATTCAGTCAAACTCTATGGAGACTCAGTATGTGGGTGGTAATTATGCCTGATAATAGGTGAGACCCTGAAGGCACCACAGAGAAGAGTTATGAGGAAATGAGTCCAACCTTTCCCCTGCACTTGTTCTTGTCAATGATTTTCAGAGCGAACTCTTTTCCTGTAGACCTGGAGGAAACAGTTCAATTAGAGAAAGAAAACAGCGCTAATAAAACAACCGTACCTGCAACACAAGGTCAGCAAACACAACAGAGCTTCAGGTACAACGAGTCAGAGAGCTGCAGTGAACACAGACGCAATGCAGATACAGACTGGCTCCCCGAGAATATTAATGTGTAGCTTAATGCTTTAATAAAAAAAAAAAAACAAAAACTCCCTGAAAATCATAACAAAAACTTAGTAAATAACTGACTTTTTTAGACAATGTTCAAGATCAGAAAACACTTCATCACATTTAGAAAAAAACATTTCCATATAAACATGATCTACATCAACATTTAAATCAATTAAAATTAATTAAATTATTTTGCTATACTCTACACACTGTATTTTAAAATACACCAAATTTAAAGTTCTAATTTCAAATATCTTCAGACAGATTTGAAAGGAAAAGGAGTTTTGTATTTTTTGGCTCTGTGTATTATTCCAATTCCAATTTTACAAACAGTGAGTGCAAAAAAGAAAAAATGCTGTGTCATTGTTGCAGAGATCAGGTGTGTGTACAGAGGAGTCACCAATAGAAAAGCCTAGCCATATATTTCCTAATAAAGGAGCACTTACGTCTAGTGAGTCTCTGTGTTTATTACTTCCTACAAATCTGCTGCATCACAATGTAAAAAATGTTTGATGTGGCTACAGTTTAGTTTATTGAATCAGGTTGTGACTCATAATCAATCGAGTGATCAATAACTGCAGACTGAGACTCTGACCCTTCCTTTGAAATCCACTTGGTATTCTGTCTGTGATGTGGACTCACCTCTCCACACACTCCTTCACCACTGCGAAGTTTCCGTCTCCAATCACCTTCCCCACTTTGTATTTGTCCAGAATGATGGGGTCAGGGGTCAAGCTGTTGCCATTGACTGTGAAGAAGGAATGAATATGAAAAAAAGAACAGAAAGAAGCTGCAGTGGTTTATTAAAAACAAACAAACAAAATCAGGAAACTCAAAAACACACAGTCAGCAGTGATCATTAATTTAACTCCTGGATAGTTTAGTTACATCCACAGATTTTGTAATCTGCTGCTGAGAAGGAAAAGAAAAATAGGAAAGGAAAGAAAAGGGAAAGGGAAGATAAAGGAACTGGAAATACCCTCTGGACTCAGCTGGTTGCAAAACTCCTTGTAGTTATTCAATGATTCGTTAACATTGGGACAGGACGAGTGATGAGACGAAGGAATCTGAAAGACACAGATTAAAAACAGTTTTTTTTTTTACTGTTTACATTACAACAAGACAAACAGATAAATCACCAGAGCAGCAGCACATGGTCAACCTGGTCTCTAATGGTGATCATCAAATGATGATGATGTGATAAATAGTCATTAATTCATTATTATAATCATAGCAATAAACGTCACAAGAATCTGTAAATTCTAGAAAAAAAAATCTAAAGATTGAAATACTTTGTAAATAGAGATCTGGACTGAGGTTTGACACTAAGGTCTAAGACTTCCACTTGAAGTAGTAGAGAGTAGTATTGCAGTATTATTACAACTATTATAGGTTGTTATTTTAGCTTAACGACAGACTGTCAGTAGTTTGGATGTTTGATTTCTTCTTTAACTTTTAAACCTTTACTCTTTATGTTTACGTCTCAATGCGTTACATATAAACTGTCTTTTTTACTAGGACTCCTCATCAGTGTTTTACCTTCAACCCAGGCACAGTTCGGGGGCTGGTGGGAGAAGGTGTGGATGACTTGGTGGACTTTGGAGTAGAGAGCTGACTGCTGGCGGTCCCATTCACTACGGGAAAAAAAAAAATCAAACACCAGATTATATTTAACCTGTATGGTTGACAACTGAAATATAATATTATCAGGACTGATATAGTAACAGACTGTACATAAACAGTATCTACATTCACACTGGAACAGATCTTTTTTCTCCTGTTTGTTTAGATCACTGCTGATTGGACAGTTTAGGTTCCTCCTACATCAGTGAGTAACTGGTCTGACTGGGGTTCTTTAAGCCAGTCCAGTCATCTCCTGTAGAACTTCTTAGGACAAAATCACTGGAGAGACTGAGAACCTGAGGTGCTGGTGGACCACTGTGGGGAGAGAGCCTCATGAGGTGGTTTGGCAATGTTGCTGTGGATGGTGGTGGGGGCTGGGGGAAGGTTAGAAATTAGAATGTAGCCGAGACCAAATGTTGACTTTGGTTAACGATGACTTAATCAACGTCATTCCTTCATTTGCTATGGCTTTTTCTTTCACAGGGTTATGGATGTTTGGGGGGAGGGAGGGGGTGGAGCCAATTCCAGCTGTCAACATGAAGGGCGGGGCACAACCTGGACACTTCATCTGTCCATCACAGGGCCACATATACAGACAAACAACATTACTTGGTTAATTTTTCAATTATGGTACAAAATTGTTAAACTGCAAATATAGCACCCCCATCAGGAAAGGCCACGAAGCTACATGTTCTGAGTTACTGTACGATTCCTTCAAGTCTACCTTTATCAATCTGTCATATTAAGAAATATTTTTAAATTGATGTTTTTCATTTAACCACATCACACAGAGCAGAAACCTCAACCATCAGCAGCCTCACCTGGGGACCTGATGGGAGAATGACTGATGGAGAAGTGAACAGGTCTTCTAACTGCAGAAAGACATGTACGTCAGATAACAATCACTTCTATTCATGCAGCAGTAAATGACTCAGTAACAACGAACAGCAGCTCAGGCCTCAAAATATATGGATTTAACACATTTCCAGTGCAGAAATCCTAACAGTGACTTTGGCAAATTCCCCAGACTTTATTAATAATCCATACAAATTGTATTAAATGTACTTTTTTTTCTGCAAGTCAAAAAAACAAACGTCATTCAACTTCACCTCTCTCACCTGCACCTGGGGACCTGCAGCGTCGTGAAGCTCCAGGACTCTTGACTGTTCTGTGAGGTGTAGCAGAGCGACTGTACGATGACTTCAGCACTCTGCATTCTGGGAAGACAACGGGCTCAGGGTCACCACGGTGCATACATCAACCTTCCACCACCGACACACACATTAATGTGTCACTTTCATTCACAACACACCGCTGTGATGTACAGGACGAGGCGTTGACATTAATGCAGGTTGAAGTCATGAACGCTGGTTAGACTTGATGATAGAGACAGTCACAGAGGGGAAATGGATTTAACATTGTTGTTGTTGGAGTGTAATATCTGTTAGATGTCAAGCAGGTAGGAACACACATGTATATATACATATATGCATATATTTATAAATACATATACATGCTTTTTACATTTCACTTTTCCTTTATTTTGCAGGAAATTTATTAGTTCGGGTTATAAATACTTTCAGCGGGAAACAGCACCACCTGTAGGAGAAGAGTATTTTCTTTGTGTTATTCACAAACCAGTTTTGACGCCTGTTTCTGCAGTCAGACGTTAAAGAACTTATAGTAACATGTTTGATTTAATTTAATTTGATTTAATCATCGTCTTTCTGTAGGACAATCTCTGAACTCCAAGTAAATAAACAAAAAAGACAGGGAGGTGGAAAAAACAGTTCATATCAGCACTAACAAATATTCAATGCTGTTATTTTTCGGTGATAAATTTACAGCGGTGTACGAGGCTTACTTTTAACAACGGGAAACCAAACCGTCTGTAGCTGAAAGAACACTGCGTCTCTGTCAAAGACCTAGTTCTTGAAAGTAGAACACGAGAGCAGAAGTAGGATGAAGTACTCAGACACCTCTGGGTATGAGCTACATGCCATAATTATCCATGAAAGAAGTTACTGGTTGGTCACCTGACTTAACTCTACACAAAATACACTGTATTTGAACGATGTTGGCTAAAACACACAGGGAACTGAGTTGATCTTAGGTTAATTATGGGATGCATATGTGGTCTGAGACTCTGAGTGGGTTTTGAAGCGAGACAAAAATGAGGAAACCCCATATAAAAACCATTAGACAGAAATGGTTTGGGGATATACATTGTAGTAAAGCACATTTCTAAAAAGATTTATCCACTGGGAGTATTTAACTCTTGAATTCACACTTTAAAGTAAACATTTAAGCTTAACTGACTTGACTTTAGAGAGAGAATAGAAATATTAATAATTTGTGATTTAAAATCTGTCCAAATTAAACTCGACCATAATTCATTTCACAACATTTTGGGACCTTTCTGTCAACAGAAAAAGAACGAAAGAGCAATGACTTTTAATCATGCAAGGATGAAACCCACCACTGCACACACTCAGACCACAGACAATGAGACAAACAGTGAGTTAGTCTTAGTCAGGCCTACCAGTCACAAAGGCTGTGGAAGCCTTACCACTGTGATCCAACAAAAAGTCGTCCTGGGCGTAGCGGTACTTCTCTGGGCCACAGGCTATGAACACGTCATCGTCCCCAAAGAAGTCCTGCAGGCAGGTTATCTGGGGGATGGGGGAGAGTGGGAGAGGGAGGGTGGGTGAGAAGGAAGAAGATTTTTTAAAACTTTGACATTTGTGAACTAACACTCCTGTGTCTTCATTTAATGAGTTAATTTTTGGATGTTCTGCTTCACCGCCTTCTTCGATAACACGTTCTCCACGGCGTTAAGTGAACGCTGCAGAAACGCAGTGTTCACTTCACGCCGTGCCGTGAGGTCAAACCACCATGACACCCTGAATAGTGCAGAGTCAGTGCAGTGTCAGAGCAGAGGAGCAGTACTGTTGGCAGTGGTGCCGCAGGATCATTTGTCTCCCCGTTTCTACTCTGTCTCACACTGAGATCCTCGTTTTCTCTGCAGCTCACGCTGCCTTTAGTTCTACAGTACACCCACCTACATCCGCAGGAGGTGGAAACAGAAGTTACTTCTTCTACACACACACACACACACACACACATACAAACACACAGATTGTTCCTTTGTGGCCTGTAGGTGGACAAGTAGGAGACAAAGGAGGGAAGGATCTGGGTATTATCGCACACGACACCACATGGAAGGACACCCACACACTGTCAGACATATGTAGAGGAACACACACACACACACACTTACACACAGATCTGCATGCACACACACACAGACACACACTTAAACCCGGGGTAAGAGGAGAAGTACAGCATGGCTGGAGATTATGAGCAGATGGATGGATTTTGGGGGAGACCGGGAGCTGAACAGTCAGGAGAGAAAGCTGAAAATAAACAGTGGAAATCTGAGCTGCAAAATCACAAAAGCTAAACTGTCACCCTGACAGAAAAACATGTAGGAACGGTAAAAATGCTGCGTGACCCACTTTCAGGTATGTCCTGAATGTAGTACTTTCAATTTGTCCGACAGTTAAGTATTACAGTAGCCCGTGACATGATACTCTCTGTGGCACTTCACCAAGGTTCTGACATAGCTGGAGTGAATACCATTCTTTAGAGGCAGCTCTCACTGTGGAATTTGGCAGCTGATCACTTACACCGTACTGGAAGCCACATGTGGGTCACCATGGCAACAGCCTACAACCTACTACTGTTGGTGTTTTAAAAAAAGACCACAGTCCAGGGAAAACACTGAGATACTTTTACATAAAGACAACGTGATGTTCCATTTACACAGCAGCAGCAGGAGGAGGAGGAGGAGGAGGACGTAAGTCATACTGGACAAGTATTCTACACTATTCTATTCTAGCTACAGTTTTGTTAGAATCCACTGAGTTCTACTGAAGTTACTACATAACAATGTGGGTTACAGCACACTCCATGTCACTCAAACATTCATCAATCATTAGCAGTCATCAGACTCTATATTAGTCTCTATATCAGACCCATCATCTGACTTTGTTATTCAACGGGAATCTGTTGAGTCCATTAAGCTGTGATGTCATTGATCTACTTCCTGCTCACATTCCCAGCTCTCCTCCTCCTCCTCCTCCTCGCTCTGAAGCACCAGTGCTGCTGTGGGGCCTGTGATGAAGTACTGTGGAACTGACCAGTGACGTCCAGGCGACTGTGGGGAAATGAAGACAAATCGTGCCTGTGTGGACAGGGTGTCTTAGAGAGGGAAAAAAGGTCAAAGGTGAAGGGTTTGAGATATCACAGTTACTGCTGTTAAATGAAGACTGATCCACTTTTCAGCCTCTTTCAATATCATTTTTCTTTTACGGTGGAATTTATATCTAATGGCAACGTCAGCTTAGAGATACTGTATATACAGAACAGCAGTAGAACAGGTCCTGGCTACTCTTCTGAAGAGTACTGCAGTGTGTAATGTTATTGCCCCACAAGGTGGCATACGGCTCATCATTCCAATTCCTTTCTTGAACAATATAAATCATGATTTTCACGAATTTTCTATCCTGAAAACGTCCGACCGCTTCATCTTTGTTTGTTTTTGTCCTGCATTGTTGTCCTTGCAGCGCCTGTCTCAGCCAATCAGATGTTCACCGGGTTATGCTGTCACATGGTGGAGGGCAAACTTCAGTTTATTTTCCAGACACATCAGTAGCCACCGCACAGTCCTGTCTGACCTTGTTTTGCTCACACCATCTGTGTGTCCCCCCCTTTCGTCTCACCTCACATGATTTTTCTGGGCGAACAGAGAAAACACACATCAAATTGTTTGGTTTTAGCAAGTCATTTTTTATAAATCATTTTGAATACGTTTCATATTAAGTAATCCAAAATGTTATGAATGTAATAAGAATAACTAAATTTAAATGAGGGCAATATTAATTAAACTTACTTTCATTTTTACACACACAATTGTGGTTTTAATATATGATAAAATAAGCGGAGACAAAATAACAAATAACAAAAATATCCTTACTAAAAAGGAATCTTCTGTTACAGAGAAAGATAACCAGCCTTCAGTAACATTTAAAGTTTTCTTTGTTTTGTTTTTTTTTACCTCTGGTTGTTTACAACCATGAGAAAATATGCAAGACTGACTGAAAATGACAGGATCAGACTTGAGTCAGACTTGTATAATGGGTCTCATTGGTTCACCATCTGTATTTATTGAAGAACTTGGGCAAAAAGATATTTAAAAAAACCCCACAAACAATGTGTGAAATGTACTTTTGTTTTGTTTTTCTGGATAATAAAAATCTGGCGCCAACTCCCAGACCAGAAATCCAGAGACTGTAATATAACGTCCCAGTAAAGGTCTCCGAAGACAAGAGGTAGAACCTGATTTCACTTCACTGTGGTGAATCTGTCCACCAACAGACTTGGAAGACAGAAGCAGACACGGTGTGATGTGGAAATTAAATTTCACTTAAATCTCAGGATGTTCTCTGTGTAAACATGTTCCTCTCATCAACAGACCTGACCCTGCTGAGACAATCGGAGCACGCGTGATTGAACTCAAACACACAATAGTGCGTGGGCCGTGGTGTGGCTGCAGCCTGGCCCACCAGGATGAATAAAAGGCCCTGCCGCAAAGAATGGACGCGAGCCAGGCTTAGATAAACAATACAAGTGGCTGAGGGCTCTCGTCATACAATGGACAACCGACGGATGTCGTCGCCCTCACACAGGGCCCGACACAGCTGACACTTCAGACTGGAACAGTAGGTCAGTTTGAGCTTGTAAAAACCACATGAACGATAAAGTAGAACATCAGCACCTCAGACCAAGACGCTATGAAGCCAATGGACATAGACTTACGTCATTATTTTAATCATTTTATTAATGTCACGTCTGTTGGTGTGTTCGTTTTGTTTAAAGTTATTTTTTTATTAATTTATAGCGCAATTTAGTGCAAAATGTCACTAGAGAACTCAGTTAAACTGTGATTCTAATGTTGTCTCATATAGTTACAGCCAATCGTTATAACATTAACACAAGTAACGTTGCAGTAAAAAAAAAAAAAGTCAAAGTTCAGCAGTTTACTTTTAAACCTGTTTTTCAGGTCTGATCATAAAAGACAAAGTATTTCCTCTGGTGAAGTATCTTATCTGGACCTGTTTTTCCTAAGGGTTCTTTTCGAGCCTCGACTTTTAGCTTCAAACGTCAAATTACAACTGACAATATTTGAATTGATTCCTGACAACCAATCAGATGGTTTCTTATACAAGCCCATCAGCTTGTCACTAAATTAAACAGACATTTAAGTGCAATAAATCATGCTAATATATATATATTTGCCTTCTTTCTTTTCTTTCCATAATCATCTATACAGAGTCCTGCTGTGTTCCAACATCCACACACACTGAAGAGATGCAGGCCAATGAATAACAAGGAACCAATGAAACAAGTGGTAAGTGGAAATGGGACGTTCTGTTATTTTTTCCTTTCGCCTCATATTGTGGTGTGTTGTATTATTTAAGAGCCAAATTTGTCAAAAGTTCAGAATAATGACAGGAACACGATGTTCATCAAAGGAATATTTAAACACTGCTGGGTGGACGTCGTCCCCGCAGAGGCTGTCAGATGGCGCTGTATGCTAATGACAGCACAGAACAATAGGTGATCATGCAAATTTCATGGCTGTTTACCCAAAGGCTGCTGCTTAATCCGGACTTGGCCCTGAAAAATATCTCTGACAGTTTGACAAACCCACTGTGGTCTTGACTCAGCAAAAAGTGGCTCAACAGCTGCAGCAAAAGACGACAAAATAACGTCATCATCACGACCTCGGCAGAGACGAGGACAAACATGGGCAGCAGAATCGGGGGCATGAAGCCAGCCTCACTCTGACTGTGTGGTTTGAGATGATGCCATGTTGCATTTATGTCACGAAAACAACATGCACCCGCCCACGCCTCGACCCCCGGGGCATGTCTTTGCCCCCGAAACTCAATAATCCATGAAGGGGACTAATAGAGTGGGTTTAATCACTCAGTGTTGTTTAGGCACAAAGGACCAATTAGAGTCATGACAACAATGACTGTGACTCATCATAAATGTTGTTGCTCAGGAGAGACTTCACGTGTTATGGTCAACTTTCTGTTTTCTCCAACATTGTTGCCACTAATTTACTTCTGCTTTTTTTTTTTTTAAAAAAAGAAAAGAATTGTAGTCCAGCAGTGCCCCAACTGTTAACAGTTTCACAGTTTCTTCCTGCTCAGTCAGCTTTGAGATGTAGAAGAGAGTCCCCCCCCCTCCCCCTCTCTGGACAGCAGCAGCTCATTTAACTGGTCCAGACAAAAAACACTTCCAATTAACATTCAGTCCGAGGAGCAGTTTTGAGCCAAGGAACAAGAGTGGACAGAGTAGCTCTGTGAAGATATGGTTATATGAACACACACACACACAGACTTAAACAGATCACAGTACACAAACACACACCACCGACAGCTGTACTCACACTCTTTATTCTAGGATATAGAGCTAATTATCCAATGGTGGCTGGTAAGGGGGGGGACCCCTGTCTGGGTGTGCACATGTATGTGTGTGTATGTGTGACAGTGGGAGGGGGTGCCGGATGCCTAGGACCCATGATTTGATTTTGGTGGAGCAGATGGCAGGCTGCTGCTGCTGCTGGGAGGCATTTGTGGTGTGTGTGTGTGGGTAAGTGTGTGTGTGTGTGTGGTGTGTGTTATTGTAAAAGCTTTATAATTCCTTAAAAGCAAAGTCCACCTTTTTAGGAACTCTCCAGCATTAAGTGTAAAGTCATTGTGTTCATTTAAAATTCAGTCCTAAAACCTACAGCTGCAGGACTAAAACAATTCTGCTCAGGAAATCTAGAACAAACAGTGAAAAAATTAAATATTTTTCTGCAGAGTCTAGGCTCAATATTCTGTTTTTTTCACCTTGTAATTAGAACACAGTATAAATGGTAAAAATCACAGTTAATCTAAAGATTGGTTGAGAGACCGTGAGTGACTGACAGATTTCCTGACCAATAGGAACACAGATTAAGGCTGTTTTTTCTCAACATTTACTTTTATAAATATAATGTAATCTCAATAGGAGGAAGTCATAGGAGAGAGAGGGTGTGATGTCACCGTGGCTCCAGGGGATGGACTGCAAGTTTTTGAAATATTTGACAAATATAAAAATAAAACATTCGCTGATGAATGCACGGCTCCACTTCTGAATAAAAACAATGTTTTGGGCGTTAGGCTGCATGTTTCCCTCAGAGCAGCTATGGCCGTGTGAAACACTTCTTTGGTCGCTCCATCAGCGCGACACCACTCAGAATATAAAGGAGTCTTTTCACTGCAGGGACCTTACATGGCTGAGGGCTGAAAACAATCCCGGCTTTTATATCATCAGACATGTCTGAAGGAGAAAAAAAAAACACAGTCTTCTCCAAGCTAACGTTTACGCTAACACACTAACGTCCATGAAGAGGCAGGCTCTACTGTAAAAATAAAGATTCTGTTGTCTTAGAACTTTACAGAATATAAATGAAGGATGCCTGGAGATTTGATTCCAGGAATGCGTTTAAATCATTTATCACTGGAAGCTAAGTTTAGACAAACGGCTGATGAGGTTATCACGGAGAGAACACGTGTTTGGGATGTCGAGAATTTACTTCAACCACCGGGCAGCGGCAAAGTTTGGCTTAATTTTTACTCTAAGATCATTCAAAATAGAATTTTGTAAGAAGGATTCCTATTGGACAGCTGCTGTAAAGTGAGGGAAGAACATAATAAAAACTGCTACAAAAAATACTTTCTAAAAATATAAATATAATCAATATATACGTGAGATAATATTAGTGGTTAATTAAAGACAGGGTGAGGAAGTTGGTGGTGTAAATTACAGCTGACATACAGTTTAATGAACAGTGACACTGTACTTTATGGTTTCATTTCCTGTTGAAGCCACGGCGACATTGTTTGCGGTTTTGAACAAACCACATCCCAGACGAGGAAGTGAGAGGGAGAGATGCTTCACATCTGCACAGTAGCTGCAAATAATTACTGTCCCAACAAGTCTCCCTATTGGCTGAATGGTGGGAATGTTGCTGTTCATGTTTGTGGCTGCATCCAATGAAGAGATAGTTTGTGTTTTCTGCCAATCATTAAATTATTTTTATAGAAATTAGACTGAACTGTTCCTGGTCAGGAGGTTAACAGTAACAACTGCAGATGTGGGACAATTTTTCCCAGAAAAAAAAAATTAAATTATTAATTATTAAATATAGTATTTAATGCTGCAGTATTTAATGACACAATATTGTTCTATACATTACAATAACGACACAATATTGTTCTATACATTACAATCAAATGCTTTGGTCACCACTGTTGTGTTTTTTACCCTTGAGTCAGGAGTTAGATCCAAATTCTGTCTATAAAAACTTCAGTGAACTGCAGTGTCTGCAGTATCTGTCTCCAAATATATCTAAACTCCACAACCTTTAGTTTTCAAAATCAGCAGTGGTTGGACAATGACTAGTTGAGACTCAAGAACATGACGTAGAGTCCGCAAATTACGTTTTTCTGCGAGGTTGCAAAATAAGTTAAACACTAGAGCTTTAAATACATACTGCTGTACATTGTAAGCACTGGTATTACTGTGTATTACTGGTGTTTTACTGCTAAATTATGTGCAATTCACCTCCAAGGACCAGAAGAACTCAAGTGCAAGAACGTCACAGAGAGACACTCAGCAGAGAAGGCCTTAACCTTCACGTGAAGTGGTCAAATGTTATTATTTGAACCTAAAGAAAAACTGTCATTAATCATTCATTTGTATTTATTTTGGCTGTTTTTTTTCCAAAGGGTGTAATTACTGGTTCCCATTGTCGTGTAATTACTGATAATGAAGTGAATCTTCCAACATTGATATAAATCTATTCAACGAGGGGCACCATGTGTTCAATTCCACCTCGTGCTAAATGGGAAATGTAAATGAAACCCCTACAATAACACTGGTGTCCCACATGGATGGGTCTGAGTCAAACTCAAATGTAGTTAAACAGCAGAGGACACTGCTGGACATTTAAAAAACCCCAACGTATTTACTGAGGTCCTGAGGAAAAAGAATTGCCTTTAGTTTTGTATGGATGATTAAATGGGATTAAATGATCTGGACTGCTGACATGTCTGAATCCTTACAAAAATTACAGCTAAATCGTACAAATAAATCTCCCCAGTCAGGCTCCTCCATCTGGTTTACAGCTGCACATTATTCATTATCATTTTACCAAAAACCAAGTAGTCAACTCTGTACTGCAGTGAAGGTATTCCAGCTGCAGTTGACACACAGACATGTGTTTTTGAGAGTGTAGGGTTTCTGTGAATAATTTATTAACATAGTACTCTCATCTGATAAAATACACAAATGTATTTCTCTGTCTAGTTTTGTCGCCTGTCGTTTCTGTGATTGGACGACAGTCACCTTTAGAGCGGTCTCTCTTTAACTCTTGAATACCAAATATGTTCATCTGAAATGGAAATCGCAGTAAAGATTAAGTGCTGCTTCTCAGTAGCGTGACTCACCTGCTTGCCCTCCAGAGTGTACAGTCTTTTCACAGCTCCAGAGTCCAGCTTGATAGCCTCCGTTATATCAGTGAGCACCTGCTCAAAGGAGTGCGCCGTCTTTTTATTGAGTAGTACCCGAACGGCCTTGCGGGGTTTGACTCCACTGCGTATGACGGTGACAAGTTTGGGTTTGATGAAGTCCTTGCTTTCTCGCTGCAGGTCACCCCTGGGTGTGATGAGAGAGGAGAGGGACCGGGATGTACCAGTTTTGATGCCCACTGACCAGTTGGGGTTGATGTTCTTGGTGTAGTCCACACGACGGAAGGGTTCGTTGGAGGCACAGACGTAACTCTCACCTGTAAGAAATTCGACACAAAACACACAAAATACTTGACATCCTTAAATGATCTGCACATTATCACAGGTTTGTTGTGGTTTTATAAACGTGTGCGATTCACAGCATTAAAGAACTGGAGTTCAAAGAGTTAACATTCCTCAGTGGAAACAAACAGGCACTTTGAAAGGGCCGCGTTAACGCCGTCATCCGTCTCTTTCAGCTGTTGGACTGCTGCACTCATTGGCTGCTCTCCAAACCAAAGCATTTTGTTTTATCTGCCTGCATTCCTTTTAGAACTGTTTACACGCAAATGTTTCCTCCTCGGAACACAGTCATGTGACCATGTGAGGGCTTGGCCGTGAAGAAATTTGCAAAGCAAGGATGTCTGGCCATTGTTGGACAGGATTGAGTAAGAAACTTTTCTTCTTCACTGTCACTGTTTTTCTTTTTTCCCACCACAAGTATAAGAAACATTTCCTCTTTAGGCTCTAGCCATGAGAAAAATATGTGCGTCCAGGGACAATCATACGGGAGAGTCTGTCCAATCAAACACTCAAAGGGTTAGGTTTTTTTTTTTTTTTTCCCACCACAAGTATATATAAGAAACATTTCCTCTTTAGGCTCTAGTCATGAGAAAAATATGTGCGTCCAGGGACGATCATACGAGAGAGTCTGTCCAATCAAACGCTCAAAGAGTTAGGTTTTTTTTTTTTTTTCAACACAAAAACCTGTTCTACATTAAGTAAATCTTTCAAATCAGCCTCATTAGAAATTATAAGAAACCATGCAGTCAGTGGTCCAGGATTATGTTTAATATATTCCAAATAAAACTGAATTCCTTCTGTTAAATTGTCATTGTAAAAAATACGTGTCAGGACAAGTGGCTGACCTGCAGCAAAAAGAAGGCCAGAGGAGACGTCTTCTCCCACAGCTCCTAGTTTTATTAAGCCTGCAATTAACCATCTCCTAATTAAAAGGCGAGAACACAGCTGAGGGGACGGAGCCGTGGCTGGAAACTGAAACGATAACTAACTGGGCCCCGTCAGTGATGACAGAATATGAAGATGCTGGTGACAAGTCTGTTCCCCTGGGGGTGCTGGGACCTCAGGTGGTACGTCTCTTAAACCAGTGATAGGCCGCCTCAGCTAACCATGAGCAGCTGCTGTCATCAGCTGGACTACAGATGAGGTCAACCTTAAACAGATTGGACCAAGCAGTCAGGCTGTTTAGAAGACGTCACCTACGTAAACCTGGAGTAGAGAAGGTTCATGACAAATCATCAAAGACTGGAAATAATACAGAATTATGTGAGTCCACGCTAGTCCACGATAATCTCAGTAAATCTGGTCCCTATAATTAGACGGCTCCTTGTGTTGTTGTAGCAGTAAAATGGTGGATTGTGTTTTGGTATTTTTCCTTTGAGAAACAATACATTTTTTCATTTTTGCCCTAATCATAAATAGTTTTCCAAACTCCTCACAAAACAAAAATAGAGATTTTTACGTTAATTTCACATTCACCTCTTTTTGATATTCAGGTTATCGAGGTGGTTCTCTGATGGTTTAGGGTACAAGAAATAAGAGCTGCGAAAAAGAAACAAAAAAAACTAAATGCACGTTCCTCTCATATAATGTGAACGTCAATAATGAAGTGCGTGAGCCACGGTCACACGCTGTGTTGTTTTCCACTAACACAGCAACTTAATCTGCCTGGCTGGCTCCCATTCAGACATAAGGGGCACACGTGTTAGTGGTGCTTGATTGGTTTTTTAACACAAAAGAGTCCCAGCAGGCCTCAATCAATGGAGGCAGACTGCTGAGGTGAGCAGTTCCATCAGGTCTGAAGCAGGGAAGACACCGGGGCCAGGCTGCTGCCACATACAGACAGTACAGCATTTACTTCCGCAACTGTTTCCACCTTTACAAAGTGTTGAAAATGAAGAACAATATGATTCAATTTTTGTATTTAATGTTCCAGTCTGGGTTAAATCAGTAAACTGTAAAAGTAAACTCTGGCCAAACTAGTGTTGCTGCAGAAATCAGATCAGACAGTGGCCTAAATCTTCGCTGATCTCTCTGGAGAACAGGTACGGGAAATGAGTTGCGGAGACGGCAGAGTATGGAGGACGGACAATTAAAGAGAAAGGAAGAATTTAAAAATAAACTGCTGTGGCAAGGACTGCAGAGCAGTGACCCGTCATATTTACAGAAATTATCTGGACTGCTGACATGTCTGAATCCTACATTTAAAAAAAAACTCTCCACTGACAGCGTCCGTAAAGACAAGCCCTGAGTTTCACATTAAGACGGACTTTGAACAGAGGTCACTGCAGTGAAAACAACACAGTGGGAAAGTGAAAGGTTCAGTGACTGCACGCCTTTCAACATGTGACCAATTTGATTCTTCACGGAACTCTGACTGTGGAGTTCCTGTTCGATTGTTGTAGATGACTGTAGTTTGGTGGATTGGTGGATGATGTATGACCCAGGGTCACACATGTCACAAGAGTTTTGTCAATGATGCAAATCGTGTGAAGGATGTGAAGGGAAGTTTGCGTGGCTTCCATTAGTGTATACTGTAACATTCCCTGGAGATTCATGGATAGAACTCTGCTCACAGAAGAACTGATCCTAGAGAAGCCTTTTAATATGATGTGGAAAAAAAAATCCCTGACAAATCCCCTTTAAAGACACAGAGTGGAGCCAGAGGTAATATTTCAAAAAGCTACTGTATTGTAGTCCATGTTACCTATTTAACCTCTGGTGTAAATTTTCAGTGGACACTACAGTGGCTCGATTAGGCGATAGCCAAGACAAAGTGTAGCTTTTAACAAAAATCAATACTGATGTCTGAACCAGTGGTCATTAGTCTATCAATATTTTTGAGGATAAAATGATTTGCCCTCCACATACGTTTGTTCAGATTGAGGAGGACTTTTTTTAAACATCACTGAAGAAAATATGTTTTATACTAAAGTATCTTTAAATACCCCACATTATCTCCCTGGTCTCTGCTCAAGCTCCTGTAGATTTGATGGTCTTCTGGCATGGATTCAAATCCAACACTAAGGGATTTCATTTCATTCGTCTTAGTGCAGGCTGGTCAATAATATCCACTCTGGTCCTGGAGAGATTTATTTATTTATTTATTTATCATGAGCTAGAACACAACAACCCAACGACTGCTAACTATTTTTTTTTTAACTTTATGTTCTCTTTTTCTTACATTTACTACAGCCTTACACTTCACCTCTGTATTCGCTGTGTTAATGTGGGACAGTGTTCTATGGGTTCTGCAGGTCTCCCTCTCTTCTTCAAACAGGCAATTTCTCTGAGGTAAAACATTCTTTTTTTTTACTTTTGTCTCAGCGGACTAAATGATATGCTTCCTGTATTGTAATTATTTTATTTTGCATTTTTTGAGAGATTGTGGAGCTCAACTGATCTCCGAGTCATTATTGGTGTTTTGAAAATTCTGTTTTATTTGTTTTTTCTTCACTTTTGGGAACCACTCAAACCAGTTAACTATTTGTGCAAACCTTCATCTTTATGCTGCTGAATATTATGTCTAAACTCAGTACTTCTGTGTTTTCTCTCATGTTCTTACTACGACAGATAAATACCAAGAGTTAGACTTGATTTGACGTAGAGATAAACCATAATTTTAACTTTTTAGTCAAGAGTTTGAAAACTATTGGTTTGAATTGATATTATTGTCTGTGATATTTCAGATAAAAAAATACTCTCAGCTGCAGCATCACATCCACCCTTACCCTCTACTAGGTCATCCAGGCTGCTGATCTTCCTGCCTCCGTCCAGCGTGTATAAGTTCCTGACGCCCTGAGGAAGGTTGACGTTGTCGGACAGGGACCGCGTCAGCTCCATCAGCAGAGCATCCAGGGATCTGAACCGGTCGTTGGACACGGCGTACACCAGGCCTTTGAAATACTTGTCCCCATTGCGATAGAAACGCACTTTTCGAGCCTTTTTCTCTGATGTGAGTGACTGCAGAGTGCGTGTACGGTAGAAGCTGCAGTGCGCACTGTGAGCAGGGCTCGGGACCAGACCGTTGCCCCTGGAGCCAGACTGGGAGCCGGTGCCAAAGTTGCTCCTCGGTGTCCGGTGAGGTTTCTCGCGTTCCTCGAAGTGTTCGAACTCAATGCTTCTGCTCAGGGACATCGTGTAGAATGATTTCTATCTCCGTTATAACTGGAAAATACACCGTAATCCAACGTTGACGTGAGATGAGGGAGGTGGATACACGTGTGTGCGTCTCCACTCTCCAACCTCTCTGTCCAAACGTCACGCCTTCACGCCGGGTTAACGCAACTTCCAGTCTGGGAACGCTTTAGTATTTATATCCACATCAACTAAATTGGAATTCTCGCCTACAGACAACACAGCACAAGTTACAATCCAGAACAGGGAGACTCGGGAAAATCCAGGAAAGACGAGTTCGGAGATGAGCAGCAGTGCGTCACAGACATATCTGAGGAATATTTGGTGGAATTACAAATGACCAAGTGC